TTTCAAGTCACCAGGCCAGGTCTGGGACTCAAAACTGCTCAATCAGCCATGTGGGATCCACACCTTAACCTCCATGCCACCTGCTGGCCCAGTGGTTAGAGCTTTTAAAAGGAATTTTGTTATTATAGCTTATAAAAGCTTGCTGTTTAGGAGCCTGTAGGTTGCTTGGTGGTTAAGATGCTGGACTCCTATGTAGCTGACTACAGTTTGAGTCCCAGACTCCCAGACCTGGCAGATTACTTTCTCACTTTACCTCTCTCTCTCTGGTCAAAAAAAAATACTAATTAAATTAGATATATATATATATTTTTTTTTTTTGGAGAGGTTTTCGCTTATAGGGCGTGTGCGTTCACCAGACAGAGAGAGACATAGAGACAGAAACCGAGAAATTACCCCCCCAGAGGGGATGGTCACGCTGCAATCCCTTCTCCATTCTCCTCTCGGGATCTTGGGCACGCACGCACACGGGCCCGGTGTGAGTTTTAAGCCACTGGGTCCAGGATGCGAACCGTGGTCGACTACGTGGGAATCCAGCGACATAGCCATTCCACTAACTGGTGGTTCCCTAGATAGTTTTTTTTTTTTTTAAGCTTGTTTTTAGATAGGTCAATGAATATGGAAACATTTTTTCCATGCTAAATGTATTAAGCTGAATTAATTATATCCTGAAAAATGTAAAATATATCTTTTGAATGAAAACTCAGTAGTTTTCCAGTTTTTAATATCCAGATAGTGTCCTAATGAAAAATATTGCAGTTGAAATAACTGGTTATTTTGCCTTTACTCTTCAGAGTAAAACTGAAATTGGGAATTGGAGTCATACTCATCAATGTAATTTCTGATTGATGATTTATTGTTTTTCCCTTTAGGGCCATTCACCATGTTCTGAATTTTGGTTGACTGAAATTTGAGAATACTGAATTCCTACTCTTCCAGCCTACTCTACTGTTTTTATGTACGGTTACCTTTTCATTTGCTTCTGAACATATTGATCAAACTATATTCTATGGCTGATCGTTATTATTTCTGCAGCTGTTCTTCACCTTATTTGGGTTTTCAGAAAATCTCAAAGGATCAAAGGTTCCCCAGCTAACAAGGAGGGTTGCAATGGACAAATGTACCCCCTCCAACTCAACCTGCACCACAATGCCCATGTTAAAGTCCTAACCAGCAGTGTTTTAGTATTAAGAGGTCAGGCTGGGGCCAGCAGGTAGCATAGCGGTTAAGGCACTGGACTCCCACATGGCTCACCACGGTTCAAGGACCCAACCTGGTGGCTTGAAAAGTCACACCAGGAGCATATGCATGGATGCCCAAAATCCCAGCAGGAGAATGGATTGTGGTCTGGCCATCCCCCCTGAAGGGGGAATTTCTCTCTTTCTCATTGTCTCTCTGGTGAGCACATGCCATCCTATGTGAAAAATCTTAAAGAAAAAAAAAGGGGGGGGGTGGGGACCATTTGTCCTGACCTGGGGGACACTCGAACAGGTTTCCTGAGGGAAGGAGTGAGAGATGGGACAAAGGATGCAGTGTTAAAACATGGAGACAACGCAGTGTTACAACTCTTCAGGGTCGTCTGTTTATTGTGGGCAGCACAGAGACGACACAGTGTCACAACTCTTCGGGGTCGTCCAGAGACAACGCAGTGTCACAGCTCTTCAGGTCTTCCGGAGACTCCAGAGATGACGCAGTGTTACAACTCTTCAGGGTCTTTAGGGTCGTCTGGAAATTGTTGGCCAGGGATCGTGGTTATATACATGTTGGTGGGCAGTGATTAGTTGAACGAAGTATTGTAAAAGGTGGGTTATGATTGGTTGCTTTTGTGGACCAATCATGAGGTGCCAGATATGCAAATCTGAGGAATTCTAAGTTCACCAATTTGCTATGGGGAGTGGGCAATCAGAGTATGGTTTTGAAGGTGAGGTTTTGAGGGGGAGCCAATCATGGCCTTTGTCATTGTGTAATTGTTTGCTCTCTGAGAAACTAGTGATATTCGCTGGTGCGCAGCCTCCCACAACCAGCAGTTAGCGTAATGGCTATGTCACTGGACTCCCACGCAGTTGACCGTGGTTTGAGTCCCCGACCCAGTGGCTTAAACTCATGCTGGGTGCATGTGCGTGCGTGCCCAAGATCCCAAGAGGAGAATGGAGAAGGGATTGCGGCATGGCCATCCCCCCTGGGGAATGATTTTTCACTTTCTGTCTCTCTGTCTCTGTCTGTCTGGTGAGCGCACGCGCCCTATAGCAAAAATCTCTCCAAAAAAAAAAGAATTAAAAACAAAAATGTAAAGGGGCTTACCCTGGGTAATCTGGATGGTCTTGATCTAATCAGTTGAAAGCCCTTAAGAGCAAAACAGGTTTCCATAAGAAGAAAATCTCCCTGTGGACTGCAGTGTCAGCTCCTGTCCAAGTTTCCATCCTGCCTTTACTGACGGTCTGCCCTTCATATTTGGGACAAACTTAGCCACAGCAACAATCACATAAGCCAATTCCTGGCAATAAATTTCTTACTCTGTATGGTGACTGATACCTACAGTAGCCCTTCTGCAGCAAATAAGAAACTGCCCTTGGTCACTTGAATTGTTGAATAGTTTCAGATCATTACTGGAAAAAGTTTTTTTTTTTTTTTAGATATATTATTTTGCTATAGGGTGTGTGTTCTCGCCAGAGACAGAAAGTGAGAAATAACCCCCCTGAGGGATTGCCATACTGCAGTCCCTTCTCTTCCAGTCTCCTCTTGGGATCTTGGGCGTGCACGCATTACACACCTGGCTGGAGTGTTAAGCCACTGGTCCCAGACTCAAACTGCGGCAGACTATGTGTGAGTCCAGCAGTGTAGCCATTGCGCCATCTACTGGTCCTGGAAAAAAAATTTCTGATGGAAGTATTAGTTCTAAGGACCAGCAGTTGGCGTAATGACTCTCATGTAGTTGACTGGTTCGAGTCCCGGACCCAGTGGCTTAAACTCATGCTGGGTATGTGTGCTTGCGTGCCCAAGATCCCGAGAGGAAAATGGAGGAGAAGAGATTGCGACGTGGCCATCCCTCCCACCCCCAGGGTGATTTCTCACTTTCTGTCTCTCTTTCTGGCAAGCACATGCACTGTACAGCAAAAAACTCTCAAAAAATAAATAAATAAGAAAGAAAGAAAGAAAGAAAGAAAGAAAGAAAGAAAGAAAGAAAGAAAGAAAGAAAAGAGTCCTAGCAGAAAATATCAACATACTTTGTGTATGTGTGCTTATGGTATGAGGAGAAAAGGGATAAAAATTGTAAACACTGTGAAGGCAAATGATTCCAGCTTGTTTCACAATCACTCATAGGGCTTTAATTAGTGTGTCACTACTAATAAAGGCCTTCTTTTATTAACTGCTTCTAATTCCAGTCACTGGGGCAGGCTTATTAGTAAACACTGTGGAATCTTTCTACAGACCAATACAAAGTGACCTTTTAAAATGTAAATCAGATCACATTACTCTCTAGGCTAAAAACTTTCCAGCGCTTGCCACTGCACTTAAAATAAAATGCAGACTTTTGACCTTGGTCTAGGTGACACTTTGCCTGGCTGTCTCTCCACTTATTTCTCTGCTCTTCCTTTCTCTCTGCTCCAGCCATGCTGGCCTTTCTTTTAACGGATCATGCCACGGTCCTTCCCACGGCCTTCAGACTTCCTCTGCCACCGTTTTGGGCGCTCTTCCAGATATTCCCTGGACATGCTTCCTGGGGAAAAGCCAGGAAATACTACCTCCGCAGACAGGAGCAACCCGGGTCCACCTCATTTCCCTAGTCCGTTCCGCTGCAGTTCGCCACTCCCTTCAGTGTACTAAGTACTTGAAATGATCGAATTTGTTGCATTTGTATGGATACTCATCTGCCCCAGGAGGACAGCATTTTTGTTATCCAGGTCTTGTTACAGCCCAGCACTGTTTAAGCCCTTTCCACGCCATCCTCCCGTCTCACTTCCACGACCCGTAGACAGGAGTGCCCGAGGCGAGGCGCAGAAAGGTGTAGTGGCTGCCCCCGTGAAAGCCTGTCACTTGCCAGCTCTGGAAGGCAAGCCCAGGGCGGCAAGGCGGACCAGGGGCGCCCGTCCGGGCACTCGGGCTCTGCAGCCCACGGGACCCACGGGTGACTCCCGAGTGCCAGTTAAGCACTTGCCGAGGGCACATGGACGTCCCAGGCGTCACCTACACAGGAATTCCACAGCAACGCCCCTGTGCCCAGCTAAGGGAGCTCGCCACACAGGGGCCAAGCGAGCGGAAGGCCGAGGGCTGGCACGCCGGCGCCCGTCAGCCAGCTCCGCCTCCGCCTCCGCCTCCTCGGGCTCGGCCTCGCCAGGCAGCGGCTCCCTCCCCGCAGCTCCTGACGCCTAGGCTGGACGGGAAAGCAGGCGACGAGCAGGACGGCGG